GGAGTTGGGTGGGTAGTGGGACGGGTTGGGGGTGGGGTAGTTAAAAAGGCATGGGCAGGGTATGGGTAGTGGGCGGGGGTGGGCCGAGGACCCAGCACCCCGGGGCTAGGGTTTGGGTACGGTGAGTTCCAGGTATTGTGCCCGTCCGGTTGTGGTCGCTGTCTCGTTCCGCCATTTGAGCGCCCTCGACCACGACCCCGGTTGCCGTTGCCGCGCCCTTGTCCGCGTCTAAAGCCACCACGCTACCCGGAGAAGGAACCATCACCATAGTTGCTGCCAAAAAAGTGTCCCTCACTGCCGAAGTTACTGCCGGAGCCGCGCCCGCCATTGCCGCTGTGCTGTCCGCCGGTGTAGCCGCTGCCGCCGTGCTCTGCCAAAAGCGCCGTGCTGCTGGTGCTGCCCAGTGGGGTCCGTTGCCGATCAAGAAGGAGGAGGGCCGACCGGACCTGAAGAAAGCTCGACATGGGATCCTGAAATTGGAGGAACGAGGTCTGAGCCTGGAGATCATCGGGAAGGCCGTGTAGCATCTGAAGAATCAATTGGTGCTCTGAGACAGGAGCGTCGACGTCGTCCAACCAATCCGCAATATTTCGGAGTTCTTGACAATAAGTGGCCATGGGGGTAGATCCCTTGACCGTGGTGCGGAATTGGTGCTCGAGTTGCATGGCGCGAGCATGTTTGTTGTCGTGAAACAGATCATGAATCATCTTCCAGAGAGCAGAGGCAGTAGAGACAGAGGAAATAACCAGATCAGAGACTTCATCCGTGATGGTGGAGAGAATCCAACCCTGGAGAATGGCGTCAAGTTGAAACCATTCATCGTCGTCGTCGGAGATGGGAACGATAGAGCCATCAAGATAATGGAGGTTGAACCGACGTGCAAGAAGAAGAAACAGTCGGCTCCACTTTTTGTAGTTTGGTTGAGAAAAGCTGAGTTGAATAGGGACATGTAATTTGACGTTGGAGACAGAGAAAGCCAGATGGGGAGGTTTTGGTGTGGTAGACTGAGAGGTGATCTCACTTTCAGCCATGGTAGGAAGGAGGAGATGGTCGGCCGAGAGAGAAGAAGAGGGAGGGCGGCGGCGCCGGTGATTCGGCGGAGGAGGAGGGAGGCCGAAAGGTGAGATGAGAGATTAGAGTTTTTGATTAGGCTCTGATACCATGAAGAAGGATTATTTTCATTGATTAACTTGTGAGGAGAGTACATGTATATATACAAAAGTCTCAATCCTAATTATGGTAGGAGAGACCATCTAGGAAACCTATACAAATATGGTAACAATAATAATACAATAATATTAAATATATTATATATATTTAACACTCCCACGTCTCTCTTTCTCCCTTCCAGCAACGCCACAACCCCACTCTTACTCACTACCTCTCCCTATATTTAGCTATGGATATTTTTTTTCTAAAATGATTATATGTTCTCTCCTCATAAAGGACCCTATTTATAGGATGGAGAAAGAGTTCTAGAAAGTGATGGGTAGGTGGAGGATGGCTAAATAAATAAAATATTATTATATTATATTGTTTTTAATTATCAAATTTATAAAAGCAAATTATTACTCCTCTTAATGAGGTGAATGAATGGGTGAGGAGAAAACAAAAAGTTTTTTTGCTCCGTTGGTTTAGTACTACGTGTCTGATTTCCAAAGTTTCAATTATTAAATATTCTTAGAAAAATATAAAACTTATAACGTGAAGTTCCACATTTTTCACACATCATTTCAACATAGTTTATTCATCAAGAAAATAGGTTCACTTGAACAAACTATATTATTCAGATAGTAGAGAACCAAAACTAATTTTATTCACTTTCACTTTATTCTATTTTTTTATCTCCACTAGAAATTAATCATTTAAAATTAAATTCCAAACCGATTATTTTTAAATAAATAAAAGTAACATTTTTAAATTTTTTTAAAATACTAATCATTTATTTATACTATAAAGTTAAAATTTCTAGATCAGTTTTCAGGGCGTTACACGTACGCTTAGAATCAAGCAAATAAATCTATACACCACGAGAGCAATCATCTATAATAATCAAAAACATCGTAGAACCATCCAAACACGGTGTTTGATAAGGACCCCAAAAATCACAACGTACCATATTAAATTTATCAATTGATTGATGAAAAATGATGGAAAAACTAGCCCGAGTTTGTTTAACATGCAAGCACACATCACAATGACAATGACTACTTTTATTTGAACCAACTAAAGAAACTAAGGACAAATTAAAACATGTGAAGAAGGATGCCCTAGACTTTTGTGCCAAGATTGAAATGGTTTTCCTCCTTTACAGTGCACGCCATGCTCCTGTCCTCCTTCTTTAGATAGTATAATCCTCCTTCATGTTTACCCACAATAATCATTGTCCCCTGTTTACCCACAATAATCATTGTCCCCAAACTTAGGTCTTGTAATACACAAAAATCATTGGTAAATTTTGCCTCACATTTGAAATGAAATCCCCTGTTAATTGTTGCACGGAAATTTAATGACAACTTAAAGTTGGAACAAATAACACATGAAATATTTGCACTAAATAGAACTAAAACTTAAGTCATTTTCCCTTAATAGCACTTAATAATGTCCATAATGTCCAGTGATGACGAACATTTACTTGAATAATGAGTAATGGATAATGACTAAAAGTGCTACATCGATAAAAAACATGTGTGGTGCTATTTAGGGAAAGTCATTATGTTTTAGTGTTATTTAAGTAAATTCCTCATAACACATTCCGCAACGTCGTAGTCTTTGTCAAATCAACCTTTCCAAATTGAACAAACACATCCATTTTCTCGTCAGGTAAACTAATTTCACATGGTGACACACCTATCACATTATATAATAACGAAAGGTCACCAATTCTGTGATTGGATACATCAATATCAATAATCCAATGTGGTGATACTGTAATACTTAAAAGTTTCATATCTGTGTCTAATGGGGACAACGAGAGAACGTGACGAACAACATTCCACTATTCTCGGGTCAGATCATCAAACTGGCAGTGGAGAGAGCTCTTTTTCTTCTGCACCCTCTACACGGCTTGTGCTCCACCACGACCTCTACTGGCGGTCGACCATCCAGCACCCTCGGTCGACCATCCGTTTCCTTGTCCTGGACCGCGGGCACTGTCATGGTTGCTTCCTCTTCCTCCCCCACTCTGATCTCAAAAGACCCAGCCCTCAGGATATCCATGCTGCTTGTAGCAATCATCAATCTCATGTACTATATTGCCACAATGAGAGCACACAAGCTCCCTTGCCGCTGCTTTATTCTTCACGGAAAAAGGAGACGCAGGGACCTCACTTCCTTCTCCTTTTGTGCATGGAGTTCTGTGTCGTTCCATCCTGCACTAGTTTGTTATAGATTCTCCCAACGGGCGGTACAAGATTCTGTGCCAGTAGATTTGACTGCAGGATCCCGTAATATGCATCATTCAACCCCATCAAGAACTGGTGAGCAAGATCTATCTTACACATCTGCGCAAGCATCGCCGGAAAGTCACATGTGCAATTCTTACACACATACACCAGAGGACGCTTGAAATCCGCCAGATCATCCCACAATTTCTTTATCTTCCCAAGATATTCCTTTATGAAAAGATCCTTTTGTTTGCACTCCACCCATTCTCGCTTAAACTGTTAAACCCTAGTTTTATTCACCACAGAAACGGGCCTTCAGATCATTCCACAAGTCAGAGGCCTTCTCAACAAATGATATGTTGGATCGATATTATTCTGAATCCAAGAGACCAAAAGCGAATGATTCATCCACCAAACATCCAAATCGTCAAAATTGGATTTGGAATTTTGATTGTTCCATCAACAAATCCAAATTTTTTGCATGCTCGAAGAGCAAGGCACAGAGATTTGGACCACTCATAATTATCACCCTTAAGGGGAGCTTGGATTAAAAGTATACCAGGATTATCGCTAGGAGACAAATCATACGGCGACATACGGTGGCGTCGCATCACAACATCATCTTCTTCTCATTCCTCAAGTTTCTTGCTCGAGGCTGTCTTCTTGCTCGTTTCTTCTGATATAATTTGACCAAGGATCAGCAATCAATAATACAGATGGTCGATGGATGCGATGCCCAATCAACCATGTACATCAGCAGTGGAAAGATCAACAGGGACGGTCGATGGACAAGACTTAGTCGAGTTGACCAGTGCGGCAACAACAGCAGCAGAAATTCCTTAGGTTCTTGGCTCTGGTACCATGAAAGATTTGTATTTTGAGAGAATTTCTCTTGTATGGATCTTGATTACAATATGAAAAGAGGCTATATATATATATATATATATATATATATATATATATATATATATATATATATATATATAATCCCTCACACTAAGAACTTGATATGTAAACTAATACAAAAGGAAAGAAATCAATGTACAATTGGAAACTACCAAAATAATATGTACGAGAATATATGAAAATATATTCCTATCTTATAACACCCGCCTTCCGCGGACCCGGTTCGCCCGCGACCCAACAGACCGGTAGGGTTACATGGGCGGTCCGAGAACCGTCCGTTACAAAAACATTAATGATTATTTAATAAGAAATGGTTACGTTTGATTAATGGAATATTAATGACTATTTATTATGAAAACGTTTGTTTTACTTGGTGAAATAAATGCTAGGAGTTATATCCAAAACGTGAGTGATATAAAATGTAGAGTAAAAGCGAAAGTAAATAAATAAGTAAAACGACAAATGGTGTGATTAATTAATTAAATGTATTTAATTATTGAACTTGTCCATGTGCCGCCCATCTTCCCACCATCGCTGTCCTCCAGGGTTAGCACCCGCACCGTCATGTCTACTTGCGTGTAGCAAAAACAACTACACGCTCAGCATAAGCTGAGGAGTGAATCTAACAAAAGAACATAAAGTGATAACCCATATGGCTATACACATATGAATACCTGTACTTAACGTACGGAAAACCACATATTTACTAACTGTTTAATTTGCACCTGATGGGATATTTTTACACATAATAAAATGAATAACAACCACATTGAATGTTGGTGTGATGTGGCACATACATGATGATGACGACCACATCGAATGTTGACGTGACATGAAACATACATGATGACAATATGACTTGATGCACGACTTAAGCTATTAGGGACACCCCTGACTTAGTCTCACTTGACAGGATCACCCCTGCACTCCGGTAATGACCCGGGCTCGACAAAACGTCGCAAGTGAACTAGCAAAAACCGGGTGGTAGCCGTAGCCTGACTACCATGTACGCACACAAAGCCCACCTGATGAAAACCCGTTGGATACCGAGGGTTCCTGGACGGGCCCACTGTAGTAGGCGCACGGAAGCCTGACCTCCCTACAGCGGTATGCACATGATGATGAAAACCTAGGACATGCGTCTAGAATGAACATGATGAATGCTTGATGTATTTACTTTTGGTCAACGCCATGAATATATCAAATAAATAACATACATAATGAAGATTAACATTTCGTGCAAACATACAATCAGATTCTGAGTCAATATGGTCTACGGGGATCGTTCTACAACTGCCTGGAATTATGCCCGCGGAACGGTCGACCGTACCCTACCGGCGGTCGACCGTGGGCTATGGTCTGGGGTCTGGGTCACAGACGGTCCACCGGGGTCTTCCGTCATGGATGACGGTTGACCGTCCCGGCGGTGACCGTTGGACTGGCCGAGGGTACGGTCCACCGTCTGAAGTAACGGTCGACCGTCCCGGTGACAGTCTTCTGTCCTTGGCTACGTTTTGATCCATTTTGCAACCTTAACACCTTGATTCTTTTTAGAACAATAATACAAACATTGATGAATATATTCCTAGTGATTCCTAGGCCAATATTTATAAGTTTTACGTAGTGAACGTTTTGATGGCTAACCTACGAACATGCATAGATTCTACGTAGGTTGCATACGATATTTCTATGAATATAACGACATAGATTATAACTAAATGTTCTAGAATTAGAGGGGACAACTACTCACCTCTAA